AAACCCATCAAAGGAAACCCAACTATATGCTTATTGTCAAAAGTGCAATCCGACGAAAGCTGGCTGTGGCACCGAAGATTATCTCATCTTAACTTCAAAGATATCAATCGTCTTGTTACAGGAGGTCATGTAAGGGGCCTTCCATTACTCAAGTTCGACAGGGATCATCTATGTGCTGCATGCGAAATGGGAAAGCAGAGTCGTCAAAGTCATCCATCTATAATCAACACAAAAGTTGTTGAACCACTCGAATTAATTCATATTGATTTGTGTGGTCCTTCATCTATCGAAAGCATCGGTGGTAGCAAGTAAATTCTTGTTATCATTGATGACTTTTCTCGATTTACATGGGTGTTCTTTCTAAAGCTCAAATCTGAAGCGACTCAAAAGCTGAAAATGTTTATTAAGCAAATTGAAGTACAGCTCAAGAAGGTTGTTCGCAACATCAGAAGCGACAATGGTCTCGAATTCAAGAACAGGGAGTTTGAAGAGTTTCTTGCAGAGAAGGGAATTAGTCATAATTTCTCAGCTCCCTACACACCCCAACAAAACGGAATAGTCGAAAGACGAAACCGATCCTTGTGTGAAGCTGCCCGAACTATGCTAAGTTTCGCTTCTTTACCTCTTTATTTTTGGGCTGATGCTATATCTGCTGCTTGTTTTACACAGAACAGGTCATATCTCAACAAAAGGTTCGCACTCACCCCATATGAGATATTGAACAACAGGAAACCAAATGTGAAATTTTTCCATGTGTTCGGCTCAAGGTGTTTCATCTTCAACTCTAAAGAACACCGCAACAAGTTTGATGTCAAAGCCGACGAAGGAATATTTCTGGGTTACTCTCTCACATCCAAGGCATACAGGGTCCTAAACAAGCGTTCAAGAAAAATTGAAGAGACGTATTATGTGACCTTTGACGACAACTATGTCAAGAAGCTGCAGGCTAAAGAAAATATCACTGGGGAAATCTTTCCTCCAAATGGCATGGTTACAGTCTCGGTTGCTAATCTGTTCGAGACATTTCTGGGGCTCTTTGAAGAACCATAGAATGCTTCACTTTCTAAAGCTGGTGCAGCAGATAACAAAGTTGATCACATGGAGCAGATTGTTGAAGATGCTGCAAGGAGAATGTATGAAGAAGAATCAATCTGTAACGACTCTCCTTCCAACGAAGAAGGAGCGGCCAAGGACGAAAGCTTTGATTGCGTTCTGCTATGGTTGGCTTTTTTCCTTGCCTAAAACAACTATCTTCTCTTCGCGAACGGTTAAGAATCCTCTTTGCTCAAATCGAGGGGGAGCCAAGTGCTCAAGTCGAGGGAGAGCCAAGTACTCAAGTCGAGGGGGAGCCAAACGCTCAAGTCCAGGGGGAACCAAATTCCACAACTTCAACCGAAGTGGTCTCAACACCAGCAAGCTCAGGCCCACTAGAATCACACGAACCTCATATCTTCCAAAGTACACCAACTGAGGTAGAACATGATGATGTGACACTCGGTTATGATAGCCAATCTGAGCTAGACGAAATAATCAATGCTGAATTAGACCCAACTGTTGATCCAAATTACCCTCCTCTTATCAAATGGACCAGAGATCATCCTGTCTCTCAAGTAGTTGGGGATGTATCTGAAAAGGTTCTGACCCGATCACAACTGAAGGCAAAACAAACTTCCTTATTTTCAAAGGTAGCATTTTGCATGTTCAATTCATTCGTATCAAAAGTTGAACCAAAGACAGTTAACACTGCTCTCGATCACTCTGATTGGGTTCAAGCAATGCAAGACGAGTTGAACGAATTTGAAAGAAACAAAGTCTGGCGCCTAATTCCAACTCCTCCAGATGCTTCGGTTGTTGGTCTCAAATGGGTTTTTAGGAACAAAATGGACAAGGAAGGTAATGTTATACGGAACAAGGCTCGTCTGGTGGTAAAGGGATATTGTCAGGAGGAAGGGATAGACTACGAAGAGACTTTCGCTCCAGTAGCTCGGCTAGAATCTGTTAGAATATTTCTGGCTTATGCTGCTCACAAGAACTTTGAAGTTTTCCAAATGGACGTCAAGTGTGCATTTCTCAATGGAGAACTTGAAGAGACGGTGTACGTAGAGCAACCTCCTGGATTCGTGAACGAAAAGCATCCAAATCATTGCTATATTCTGGATAAAGCTGTGTACGGCCTTAAACAAGCTCCGAGAGCCTGGTATGAAACGCTTACAAAATTTTTAAAGATGTCTAAATTCAAACAAGGTTCGGTTGACCCAACCTTCTTTCGCAAAAAGGAAGGTAACCACCTTATGATAGTTCAAATTTATGTCGATGATATCATCTTTGGCTCCACGAATCCAAGCTTAACGGCTGAATTCAGAAAGCTGATGGAGACTAAGTTTGAAATGAGCTCAATGGGTCCAATTAACTTTTTCCTTGGTTTAAACATAAGACAGGGACCCGAAGGCATCTTTATTAATCAGGAAGCTTACACGAAGACTCTCCTAGCAAAGTTCGGTATGATGGGAGACTCAAAAGTCAAAGTCCCAATGGCATTCGGCACTAAGCTTACCCCATCTCTAGACAAACCAGCTGTTGATATCGCGCTCTATCGTCAAATGATTGGATCGTTAATGTATCTTACTGCTAGCAGACCTGATATCATGTTTTCCGTGTGTTATTGTGCTCGATTTCAGGCAAACCCTCGTGAACCTCACATGCTTGCAGTAAAGAACATCCTACGATATCTCAAGCGAACCACCTCCTTAGGTCTATGGTATCCATCCAACTCAGGCTTCTTTGTTCAAGCCTATTCTGATGCTGACCTTGGAGGATGTGGACTCGACCGAAAAAGCACGACTGGTGGATGTCAATTTCTTGACGGGAAGTTAGTCAGCTGGCAATCTAAGAAACAGACATGCGTGTCGCTATCCACAGCCGAAGCAGAATACATTGCAGCTGCATCATGTACATCACAAGTGATTTGGATTCAAAGCCAACTTCGAGACTATGGACTCAATATGAAGAAGATCCCACTATATTGCGACTCCGAAAGTGCAATTAGGATCTGTCATAACCCAGTGCAGCACTCCAAAACCAAGCACATAGCACTAAGGTATCACTTCATCAAAGATCACGTGGAAGATGGAAACGTCGAAGTTCACTTCGTAAGAACCACTGATCAACTGGCTGACATCTTTACAAAAGCTCTTCCTGAAGCATCATTCAATCAGATATTGCAAGGCTTAGGTATAATGGTAGCAGAATCGGTCCCAAATCCTCAAGTCTCTATTTAAAAAAAAAAAAAAAAAAAAAAAAAAAAAAAAAAAACAGGAACCGAAGCTAACAGAACTCTCTGTCACTCTCTGCTCTGGTAAAATCAAGGAACCGAATCAACCAGACCGCTCGGTCACTCTCTGCTCTGGTAAAATCAAGGAACCGAATCAACCAGACCGCTCGGTCACTCTCTGCTCTGGTAAAATCAAGGAACCGAATCAACCAGACCGCTCGGTCACTCTCTACTCTGGTAAAATCAAGGAACCGAATCAACCAGACCGCTCGGTCACTCTCTGCTCTGATACCAATTGAAGCGATTATAGTTTCTTTTAATCTATGAAGATCGATAAGATCTTGAACAAGTTATGAAAACAATGACGATATAAACACAGTAAAATTATAGAACAAGAATGAATCAAACGTGTCGAATGATTAAAACAAAATCCTCAGAAGAGCTCGATTAAGAACATCAACTGTAGAGGATTGGAAGGTTACAAGTATAATCAAAGAAACCTTTAGTCGTCTAGAAAATATCGTATTCTCAGATCTCTAAAACCTTAACCTAATATGCATGCAAGCATGAGCTTATATACAAAGCATAAAAGACACACGGTTGGACAGGCCCAAACCGTAATACAAAAAAATTATAAACAAACGAGCCCAAAAGACGCAATCTTCTAAGCCCAACAACGTAAACAGTGAAAGAGACATGAAATGAATCAATCCACAATGAGGTCTAATTTAGCACAGAACTCTAAAGAGAAAATCGGTTATTGAAATAAGTAATCTACAGCAACAGAAAGCAACAACAAATTGAGAGATTTAGATAGAAGGAACTAACCAGTCTTTTCGTAGATGGTTTGGCAACTCAGATTTAGACTAAAGCAAATTATGAGATCTTGAATTGTTGATGTTAAGAACTCTTTGGTTACTGGATACCAGAAAAACCGATGTAAGCTTGAATGAACTGATGGGAGTTTCACTAAGCGCATTTATATAAACCTCAATTCAGCTTTCAGTTCACAAGATTCCATCAATGCCACTTCCAGTCCTTCCGCATAAAGCCTTTACAGAATCAGTCCTTCATCACAGCAACCCATTCTCAAATTCTTTCAAGTCCATTACACGGACAAAACTTGTGTGTATCTCAATTGAATTAAGTCAGAGCTGTAACTAGCTAACTAACTAACTAACCAACCAATTTACTCTGATCACAACCATGATTAAGATTGAATAAATATACATTACATCCTCCACAAAATGACTACTAGTAAAGTGGCCCCTTCATTATTATGATCTTGAAATGTATCTACTTCCTTTTGGTAATTTTGGCCAAAATACATCGACTCCTTGATACTCGACTAAGATTGGCAATTTGATTGATAAAAACATCATGTTCATGTTAAGACAGCTATCTTTTATTGATGTAGATATGTAACCTTTATGAAAGATGATGCATTATTATGAGTTATAGACCAAAAACATCATGCTTGTATAATACTAATTGTTATCGATCTAGTATTATATTTATAGCCATAGTCTAGCTCAGCCTACTAGTGTCTCACTTTAGTGCTTTACTACTACTCATATGTATATGTCTGGTGCATTTTTGAACTAGTTAGTTTTAATAATCAATTTGTAGCATTTGTAAACTTTAAGAAATGAAGTTATAGTTTTTTCTCATTCAAACTTTCAACGTATTCATCCGATAATTAAGATGTAAAGAAAGAAAAAAGGAACAACTATAGCAACAGATGATAAAGATGTGTCAGCTTACCAGCAAGTTCTCGAGTAGGATAATCATCTTCAACAACAATGGACTTATCTTGATACGAAGTTTTTTCTTCAACATTTGCTGAAATTTCATTCTTCATCATCTTCATACAGCAGCCTACTATTTTTTGGTCCAACTCATAATAATGCATCATTTTTCCCAAAGGTTTCATATCCAAATCAATAAAAGACACCTGTAGTGTAGTAAGATAGATGAATAATAATAATAATAATAAATTACTGTTGCATGTTGTTTATAACAACAAAATGGTTAGTTACCTTATAATCAAAACTCTGTCCAATTGATTCATGCAAAATGACATTATACGCAGACTTTGGATCCTCTTTTTCTCTTGTTCTAAAACTAATCATGAGACTCAAATCCTTTGCAGTGGCAGCAATCAAATACTCTTTGACAATTTTCAAACTTTCATCCAATGGGATCGTATGCAAAGAAGTATATCTATCGGATTCTTCACCTAACTCACTACAAACCACACAGGGCTGAGAAACTACATCATAATATGCATGAATGGCCCCTTCTATATCAAAAAAATCAAGTTTCTGAACTTGTAAAAGTCTATCCAACAATCCAGATCTAAAAACTGCCTCAGAAACAAGTTCTAGAAAGCAAGTGGTTCGCATACCATCATCAGCCTGAATAACAAACTTTAAAGCATCTTCTAATGCTCTATCGTAGCGAACATTCGTTCTGTATTTACCTCCACCTAAGCATCCGAATACTAAGGAACCGTTTAAGAATACCCGAAAATTGTTTTGGGGGGTGGAAAAAAGATCTTTAATTGATTTTAATATCCTTTCCTTGGATCCAGAAAACATATCCAACGGATCATATCGACTTAATTGTGATACCTGACCAAAATATCACCAATTACAAACTTTGTGTACCTCTACAACTCATGACCATTGAAATTTTCATATAGGTAATAGGTTACCTTACCTTTTTGTGTTTCAATTTGAAGGTCTGATGCAGTTTGAAACGTGTCATGCATCTCTTGATTGTGTGTTCTTCTAGAATATAGTTTGAACATGGAAGAAATCCACACTTGGGCTGTTTTGGAGAAATAAACATATATGAATGAAAACTTATTGCTATACACAAATTGAGCACATACCTTTATCTCTACAGATATCGAAAACTCTTCATCACGAAGAGCTGCCAAACACACAGACAATACAAGTTGTTATGTCAACTTTTAACTTCTATTCTCCAGACACAACCTATAAGATATTGTCCGATTATCATACAATACCTTGAGGGAAAACTGAATGATCTGATATAAGTAATGCATAATCACACTGTGTGTTGACATCAGCATCACTAACTCTCCAGGAAGGACGTTGACAAAAAGCATTTTTCACTACTGCCTCAAGAAAATCCCTGGATACAAGAACACGGACCTACTAGTTTTGTTCAAACTCGTGTTAATCAATTGAACTCAAATTCAACATTAACAGTTTTCAAGGATTATAATTAATGATAGTGTGAATACTTACCCCAGCATCAACATGATTGGAACCTAATCTTGGAGACATTACATGTTGCACATACAAATGTTCTGCAATTTCCCTTGTTGGAGCTGATAAAAGGTCACAATCTTCATTCCATAGGAGGCCTTCATGCACGGATAAATCTGAAGGTACTTCCTCATAGTTTGTCCCATTTCTTTTAACTTTTTGCACCCTCAACACTTTTCCAACCTACATAAAGTTATTATGTTTACATCCATTGTCGATCAGACAACTAGTCAAGTAGAATTATATGATTATTACCAAACCAAAAAAACAAACAAATCGAAAACCTTTAAAAGCTGTTAGAAATGTTTTCCATCTTTAGAAACTATTTTTTTACATCTTCTGGAAAAAAAATTGAAACACAAATGTCTTTATGTCTGTTTTTTTTTCTTTCTAAAAAACAGTCCTTTTCACAAATGTCTAAACGCTGTCAGTGTAGCGTGCAAACATAAGTGGTGAAAAAAAAAAACAGTTAATGATTTATACTTGTTTATAAATAACATAAACATAAAACATAAAACATACAAAATCAGAAGTGGCTCCGCTATAAGAGAGAATGATATTTGCAGCTCCTTCTCCTCTGTAAATCCAATCACCCGCATCTTTTGCATTCAAATTCAACTCCATCATTCGTCTGCATAAATTTACAATTACCATCACGCACAAGCAGTTTACTAATCATGCGAAATATTTAAAAATAAATGAGTTGATTCTTCATTTATTGTGAAAAATTCTAATGCTAAAATAAAGAAAAGCTCGACCACTTATGAAGTCTAGAGGGCTTAAAACCCCAGTTTGGCCACAAGTGTTGCAACACACAACGAATGTTGGGGGTTGTAACTAATATATCTCTTAAATCATTTTATACACCAAGGCAACGAATAAAGTGATATTTACAAAAATGAGGAATCAATAATGAAGTATTAAAAAATAACGATTAATTTTGCATTCGAAGAAAAAGGAACAAATCATCATAGACCCATTATCAATTTGTCCACTTGGGCAAATGGTCCCTCGAAATAGCATTTCAAACACTTGATTTTGACGACAACAAAACAACTAAAACTGTGAAATTGTAGTGTTGTGAATATTAATGACTACCTTATTCATTTTCCTAAATAAGTTGGGTAATAAACTGGGTCCAAAACTTAAATTAATTGTCTAGAATCCAGTAAAACTTATCTTAAACAGATGGGGTTTTATGATAAGTGATAACTATTAAAGTAGTACTGATAATCTAGTAGAATTGTCTGTTCTTTTATGACAAAAATCCCGAAATGAAATCATATCCACTATCCAGAATACAATAAACATTCCCAAAATGCAATGAACATGTATGACATAAATATCCACAACATTTAACATTCTGTTATACCGACTTAGCTTAATGTTAGTTTAACATGATTGTGTGTACGAATCCCTATTTGACTACGATATACAAACATAAATTTGGTGTGAAATTTTTGGCAAAATGACAAACTCGCCTTACATGTATGGCTGTTTTTAAGGAGTTCAGTTGGCTTGATGTTCTAGACAACATTGAAAGAACTCATTGCTTATGCAATACATGCTCTCCAAAGAAGTTGTAAATAACTGCATTTTCATTAGTGATCAAGGAAACGGATGATCACCAATGTCACTAGTTTAATCGGACCTTCAACAGATTTAATAACCCAAAAACTAAGTCATAAATAAAGGGAAGTAATACGTAAACGGTGAAAGAGACATGAAATGAATCAATCCACAATGAGGTCTAATGCACATAGCTCTAAAGAGAAAATCAAATGTTGAAATAAGTAATCTACAGCAGCAGAAAGCAACAACACATTGAGAGATTTAGATAGAAGGAACTAACCAGTCTTTTCGCAGATGGTTTGGCAACTCAGATTTAGACTAAAGAAAATTATGAGATCTTGAATGTTTAAGGAATGCCTCCGACTGATGCTAATAACTCTTCGGTTGCTGGATACCAAAAATACTGATGTAAGCTTGAATAAACGATAATCTTACACTGTGATCCCCAAAAAAAAACAAAAAAATGATGGGGGGTTTCAAAGGGTGTTTAGGATTTGCTTATTTAACTCCAGAAGTGCTTTTAGGCAAATGTGCTTATTAATTTATGGTGGTAGAAAAATAGGTTTTTAGAAAAGTGTTTGGATTAGCTTTTGTGGTGGCAAAAGCCAATAAGTTAATAAGTTGTTTTTTAAAAAGTGTTTGACTTAGCTTATACATGTAAAATGACCAAAAAGGGCATGCTCACATACTTAGAACCATTTACTACTTTTACATATAATGTTAAATTACTCGAAGCTCAATGCTTATAGTCATTTTTGCCTAGCATTTCGAGAAATCCATGTTTTTTTTTGCTTAACCTATTAAATCATACATTCTAAGTTAAGTAAGAAAGAAACAATAGTTGTCCAGATTAAGTGCTTTACCCCTTAGGCTATACTCATAACTAACATATAGTCAAACTATTAAAAAGCTGAATTCAAACGTAGAAGACAAATTTAAAGTAGATCTAAAGCTTTTGTTTAAAAAGGAAACAAAATTTAATCAAGTTCTACATAAATTCAAAGAAAGCAAAGAAAAACACAGAGCTAAAATTAGGACAAAATCACATCCGTGAGATTTTGATGCAATCACTACCTAAAAAACAACAAATATAAAATACTAACTATGGTTCAACAAACCATATATAACTAACTGCACATAGTTCATCAACAAAGCATTTGAAAGGTGGAATGATGGTATAAACCGACATCACCTGGTATAGTATTGACCCTTTTATGAACTTGAGGTTGACCAGGCATTTTATGTAGTTCAAACATGAACACCATCTTCCCTTCTGAACTTCTTTTCTGTGTACAATGCTTCACAGTATACAACCCATCATACCCAAACACATCATAATTGTTCTTCTTTCCAACCTAACAGGTTTCCTAATCACCCTAACAGGACTTTTCTCAGTCATACTGTTCTTCAAAGCAAGATTACCCCTTTCAAGTTTTTGATCATCTGCTTAATCGATTCCAGAAGGATTCATGTGCTTAAAATTCATGTGCTTTATCGACTCTAAAAAAATCATCAGCTTAAACCGAACCAGAAAAAGAAATCGGGATTCCAAATCATAAATTGGGAACCATATACCAGAATCAGACAAGAAATTGAGCTCTAGATTGAAAACCGAACAAGTAAATCATGTGCTTCATCGATTCCAGAAATCAAAATTCATATATCGATCCAGGAGGTATAACTGGATAAAGAAAGTGGGACTTACCAGATCGGAGAAGGAGCAGTAACCAGTGCCTTCGATCAGAGATCCGGTGCGGAGATCGGAGAAGGGTCGACGGAGTGGGAGATTGGAGAAGGGTTGCAGTGATGAACGTGGTGAAGGGGAGTGTAAAGTGAACGACCGTCTGTGGAATGAATTACGACGTGAACTTGGTGAGTATTGAGGGAGAACGGAGGCATATAGGTAATTTTCTTACTAACTGCTCAATCACAATTTTTTAAAGACAAAATTACAAAAATGGTCCTTATGGTTTGCCAAAAATCACAAAGTCAGTCCCTGCTAATTTTTTTTGACGAACATGGTCCCTATGGTTTCCAAAACTTGCATCAATGGCCCTTTTTGCTGATGCCGTTACTGTTCATCCGTTAGTGTAAGGGTATTTTGGTCTTTTCAAGTAGCAAGGACTGGGTTTGTGATTATGGGTAAACCATAGGAACCATTTATGTATTTTTTTTTTCTATATTTTATGTTTATGAGTTTGTGACTTTTCCACCCATTTACTTTTTAAAATATCACTTTGAACACTTCACTTTGAACTTTGAAAAATATTACTTTCACCCCTCTATTTTCTAAATTTTCATGTTTAACCCCGTATTATATATAATTTATTTTTTATTAATAATTTTTGTTCGCTAACCTAAAAAAACTATTTTTACGTATTTATTTTAATATATTTGTTGGTATAATTCAAGGTGATTAACGTTTCGATTATAATTTAGAACTTTCTTTCGTTATTTTTTTTAAAGTTACATGGTTTTTTTTTTTTTTTAAAATTGTCGGTTTAAATTCTAGCTTATTTTTCGATGTAGTTTTTTTTTTTTTTTTTTTTTTTTTTTTTTTAATAACTTTATGTACGTTTCCTACGTATGAGACGGGTCATATATAATAACTTTCGTTTGTTAATTTTAAAAAATATATTATATTCGAGATTGTCTATGTTTTGATGTATTTTTTATACATTTTGTGCTTAATTTTATATACATTCCTACGTATCATTCAGGTCATATATAATAACTTTCGTTTGTTAGGTTAAAAAAATGTAGTATATTCGAGTTTGTCTATGTTTCGACCTAACTTTTGTTTCATGTTTTTTACATATCAATATAGATTCAAGTTCGTCTATATTTCGACATTTTTTTTTTATGTTTCGTGCTTATTTCTATGTACGTGTTTTTTTCATTCATGTTTTTTTTATGTCGAAATGCAACTTTTATGACTATAATCACCAAAGTTCAACTTACAAAATTCAAGCTTATAATTACGCTTTTATCTATTATATGTGAACAAACTTATATGTAGGAACATACATAAAATAAGCACAAAAACGTACAAAAAAAATTAAATCAAAACATAAAAAATAAAGAAAAAGAAAAACTCAAATTTATATTAGCACGTGCATAAAAATAAGTAAGATTTTTTTAAGTTAACGAACGAAAGTTTAAATAGCTTAGCCATAAAGAGAATCGAAAACATTGTGGATTTGATGCGCCTTCTTCCACAATTACCTGACCACATAGTGAGCTCCTTTTGCTTCGGTCTTGTTGGGTACTGCTAAACTTTTCTTTGGAATGAGGACATGCCAACCCGTTCACATGGAGGAAGCGGCAATATTCTTTAACAATAGGTTGCGCGGGGCAATTGAGGAGATTGTGGTTTGTAGTGACCCTTTCTTTGGCGACATACAGTGGCAAATTGCTTCCTTACCCATTGGGTGTTGATGGTTTGGGTTTATACTCAGCAATAAAGGCTACCTCATATGTTTTTGTTGCCTCGAGGGCCTAATCTTGGGTATTGCAAGACCACATCTTACGAGATAGCGATATATATCGTATGGATTCTGATTATGCTTGTGCCTTGGATTCTCTTCGTAACAAGCTTCTAGACATTGACCTTAGTAGTTTTACTACTAAAGACCCCCCACCCCAACCCTCCAAATCCCATAATACACTGGCGAGTGTCATTTTTAGTAAAATTGTCCATGATATGAAAGTGCATTTCAACATGACGACTCAACAGAAAGCAGTTTTTCAGTGTTTACGTGCACCATATGCTCAAGATTTTTTTTATAACTATCCATATAGATGGGTTTGGCCAACATATGTCTCATGTGGAGTATCGTACTATCCTCAAATATCGTCTCATGATCCCAGTATTATTATAATACTGACAAGATATGTGTGATGTACCGCAAGACATGTTTGGACTCTTTTGGAGAACATGCAGTTCATTGTAAAGAACTCCCGAGGTTGAAATACTGACACGATATGGTTGGGGATGTTTTGTTTAACATATTTAAGCGTGTAAGAATTTCTACCACGAAAGAAACACCTGTGAA